AGGAATACTTGTAAGTATGGCTCAGGATTGTGCAGCATTTCACTCTGTGTGCATAGGGTGCTATGGGTCAGAGCTGACTCATTGGCACCTAATAACAACAATGTTGTAGATGACCTCCTCGGTGTTTGCTTTGGTTATAGATGACAATATCTTATTTTCTATTCGATTGTCAGCCATATGAAACTAAAGTGGACATAAAACATTTTGGTTTCATACCAAATCCAAACCGAACCAAGCTCATTCCCATTGAGTCTATTCCACATCATGTAGCAACTCTATAAGAGAGAGTAGGCTTTCTGGGGGCTATAAATCTTTACAGAAACAGACTGCTGCATTCTCCCACAAAGCAGCTTGTGTATTTGACCCATCCATCTTTCAGTTATGAAACAAGAACCTAACCAATCTGCCACTTTGTAAATTAGTATCCTTGTCAAAAACACATGCCCTCCTCTAAATTTCAAACACGTGCCCTCCTCTAAATTTCAATACTTTGTATTTTCATTGTTTTCTGTGTAGGTGATCTTATTGCCTAGGCTACCAAGAAACCATATGGGGTTTCCCCTTAGCCCATTAATATTGTGAATTATCATGTTTTAGCACTGGAAGAACCATCATTCTTGCCTTTCAACTTCATTTTATAGTGGTAAGCACTTTATATTTGGAATAAAGATGAGGCTATGTGTCCCATAAAGATTTACAGTCATAGAAACCATATTTAGGGTTGTTATGAGTTTAAATCGACTTAATGGCATTGGATTCTGTCTAAGGTTATATGCTTTGTTACTAATTAAAGTTTGGGGTCTATGTTTCAGGTGAAATAAACTTAATTACCTTGTACAGTCTGTTTCGTCTCAAACTGTACTATCTAATTTTCCATTTAGGTCAGGGATCCTCAAACTTTTTAAACAGGGGGCCAGTTCACTGTCCCTCAGACCTGGTGGAGGGCCGGACTATAGTTTAAAAAAAAAAAAACTATGAAAAAATTCCTATGCACACTGCACACGTCTTATTTTGAAGTAAAAAAACAAACGGGACAAAAACACCCGGCCGGCTGGATAAATGTCCAGTTTGAGGGCCGCAGTTTGAGGACACCTGGTTTAGGGTCTCATATTTGTTGCAATAACTACACAGAACTCACAGACAATACTCACAATTAAAGGGGTTTATTAAGGAAGTTAATAAGTTACCACAGATCCAGATTGGCAAACAGTAAGGATACAGTCATTGGTCCACAGCAACACCTCTTCTCAACCAAAGCCAAGTCTTTCTCTGGTCCGTGTCTCAGCCACTTGGTCCCTTGGCCTTTGCCAACACTGGCCAATAAGCCAGTCCCTTGTCTCAGGCCAGAGGAGAAGGTATCCCATAATTTCTGCACAGTTCCTCTGATTGTCTGTTCCACAGTCAACTGGTGCATCTGGTCTCTGCTGCCCTCCATTCAGACAAAAATTTTGTCCACATTGAAGAATGGCTTAGGACGTGTGTACTCCCAAGGGAAACAAAGGAGTCTCATCCTCTAGTAATTTTATAAGATGCCCCAAAGGAAAAGGGTATGAGTCTACTGAGGTCAGTTCTTAACCCGCCCTCCCCCCATCCTCTCTGTTAGCAGAGTAGAGAATGCCCTCTATAGCCATAGATATAGAGTCCAGAATTGTAATGTATTACATAAGGTGTTATGATCAAAAGGGCCATTTTAATTGACTACATTTTACGATCTTGCTTAGTTTAAAGTTTCCTATTTCTTGTACCGTGTTATCCTTTTATATTTATCCAGAATTTAATCTATTTCATCTAGGTATTGTTAACACAATATATATTTTTGTCTAGACACTTATTATGTGTAACTCTTCTTTTTCCTTTAGTATTTTATTTGCCCCACTACTTCCTCTTGATCAAGTCTTGTATGATACACTTTGCAAAAGACGGTGGTTGAAATTTTAACTCCAGCGTTTGTCACATATCATTTCCTGTGGTTATGGGGGTATGGGTATGTGATACTGGACAAGTTACATAACTACTCTATGCTGCTTTTTCCTCAAACATAAAGTGTCTGTAATGATATAAATGAGTTTATATATGAAACATGTTTAGAGCAGTGCCTGGCACAGAATAAAATACTCAATGTTAGTTGCTCTTAATAATAATGGAAGCTTTGTTTAAGACTCATTCTGTGTAATTTTTTTTTAAGTACAAGCAAATCAGTGGGTTCACTGCTATTATAAATTGATTTTAACTCCTAGCAACCTTCTAGGGCAGCGTTGAACCTGTTCACTAGAATTTCTAAGACTAACTTGTTACTAGAGCAGAAGATCTTCTCTTGGAATTATATCCCTCCTTATTGCGATTTTTCCAGAGGGATTTGGCATGGGAAACCTGAGTGTTTTTCTGTTTGCAGGTGTTTTTATTTTATCCTCATATTAAAATACTGTTTTAGCTACATATAAGTTCCCACAGTTAAAATTTCATTTCTTTCCAAATTTAAAAATATTTGCCCAGTGTCTTCTGGTATCTAGGTTTTCTGTTCAAAGCACATTTGTTGACCTTAATCTGTTCTTTCATTTTAGATGTATTTTTGTTTTGTTTTACTCTTTTAAAATAATTTTACTGCACTATGTCTGAGTCTTAACATACCCTTTCATTCCCTGAAATATTTCGGTGTAATTTTATTCTCCCTTTATTTTCTTCCCGCTACTGCTATGGTGTATATATTAATATTTCTACTTCTGTCCTCTCTCTGTTCCATTTTCTATCATATTTCTTTTCATCTACATACCTTCCAAAAATTCATACTTAGAAATCTCGCAACCTGACCTGTGAGCTTACTAATTGTTTGTCATCAGTTGACAGTTCTCTTATCCAGTCCATCAAGAACAGGGATGGCACAAGCAACTTGTAGTCAGCTGCTATCGGAAGACTGGGGCTTCAAACCCAACCAGAGGCACCAAAAAAGAAATGTTATCTAAGATCCGTTTCTGTAAAGATTACAGCCCAAAACTCAATGGAAGTTTTCTTGAACACATGGGATGACTTGCAGCAGTTCACAGCCCCTACCCCCAACCCATCAGTGCATATATGACACTCTGTACTGTTTTATATTTAAGTGTGCTTTCCTTCTTTTAAAAAGAAATTATCATTTATTTAAAATTCTTGTTTTGTCTGGTCCAAAAATTCTAGTTCTCATTTTAAAGTTGTTGTCACTGCTATGGTTTGTGTACGTGTTTAGATGTCTGTTGATTTTGCCTTAGAATTTAGTCTGACTTCTCTGTGAGTATGTACCTGAGAGGACAGAGTCATAGCAGTCCCCTGCACCTCGCTTGTGTTCCTGGAGAATCTAAGGTATATAGGGTAGGGACACTCACGTCCACAGTGTAAAAGTCTGCACCGGGTGATCCCTTGTTTGTTGTGCCACCACTGCTGCGCCCTGTGTCACCAGGCAACTCTTTCTCAAAGGACTGCCGTGCACACTGCTCTTTCCCAGGAATTATTTCCTCGGGGGTACTTCTCTGAGAAAGGAAGGCTTGATAGCAGAACTGGTTCTTGCCAGCCTTAACTGTGTGTTGTGCAGGATTGGGGGGGGCCCAAGAAATAATATAAATGATATTTTTATTCATGCACGTTTATAAAATGGAACTTCCCGTTTTTATCAAGAATAAGATTTTCCTCAGTCTTGCACAATATTTTGTCTTTTCATATTAATCAAGAAATATATCCATTCCAGATTATTTGATTTATTGACACATAGTATTCTTTTGTTTTTAAGCATTATGTCTGTTACTCTTCCCTTTTTTGTTTCGAATTTTATTCATCTGCCTACTACTTCTCTCAATCGTTTTGTATGAACATACCAGGTACTTGTTAAGAGCTCAGGCTTCAGAGTTTGTCATAGATCAGACATACAGAAAAGTTTAAGAAGGGCTTACTGGATTGTTTTAAGTAAAATTTATATCCAGGGTACTGTCGATTTTAAGTTTAATCTAATATTGCCATAAATCAAACTTACAGAAAAGTACAAGGAGGCCTTATTAGTTTTTACTAAAATCTGTTATCGGTGAGTATGGATAACCAAACGTCAAATTATATGTAGAGAACACTTTTTGGTGAGTTTGCTTGATTTCCATTACATTTAAAATACAGAATATATAATCAATCAAAATCACCAAAAAGAGTTCCCCATAAAGTGGGTAATGCTAAAAGTAAATTATAGGAACTTAATCTAACTATATGTACTTAAATAGTTTGTTAGTCAAACTTTTACTATACTTTTACTCTGGTTTAGGTCAGGAGTCAATGGCATGTAAGGGAACTAGAAGCAAGAAATCATCCTAGCCTGATAATTAATCAGACAGTATTTTACCTGCTCTTTGTCCACGTCACCACCTCCTCGGTAACTGACTTTTACACTGCCTTTTGTGCCATGGGTAAAATGACCGCCTCCTGGGACAAGTCGTGTTTGAATTCTTGAGAACGTGGAGCTCCGTGGCACAGCACAGTTCATGCTCCTGAGTTGCATCCTGTGGTGGTGTTTGTGGAAAACGGTGACTATCACCTGCACTCTTTGCGTTGGTTTTCACATTTGCATTCAATATTATGAGATCATCATAAACATCGCTCTTTAAAACGTGTTATAGAGTATCAGCGTCTGTCTCCTGATCAGGAATATTAACCTTCTGGTTAAAGTGTTTCCAGAAAGGCCCCCCAACCTGGGAGAATGCCACTTTGTTGTTATTTTTTAATTTTTTGTTTGGTTTGAGTTTGTTGGTCTGTTTCCTTCAAATAACATGCCACATAAATGACACCCCCCTCCCCCCACGTATAATGGACAGAAATGAAGTGAAACAAGTCTGGCATAAGAAGTACATTATTTGCATTAAAATGTAGAACTAATAGTAGCAGGCACGAACCACATAAAATTTACTCTTGCCTTTGTTGTGAACTTCTATTACATGAGAGTGCCAAATCCACCTTCAGTTATTTAACCTTTGCTATCTCCTGCTCTTTTTCAGAAGATGAATAACCTTTCCTTTAGTGAGCTATGTTGCCTCTTCTGCTGTCCACCTTGTCCAGGGAAAATCGCTTCAAAATTAGCATTTTTGCCACCTGATCCGACCTACACTCTGATGTGTGATGAAAGTGGAAGCCGCTGGACTTTGCATCTCTCGGAACGTGCAGACTGGCAGTACTCTTCTAGAGAAAAAGACGCCATTGAGTGTTTCATGACTAGAACCAGTAAAGGCAACCGAATTGCCTGCATGTTTGTGCGTTGCTCGCCCAATGCTAAATACACTTTACTCTTCTCACATGGGAATGCTGTTGATCTTGGTCAGATGAGCAGCTTCTACATAGGACTGGGATCACGGATCAATTGTAATATATTCTCATACGATTATTCTGGATATGGTGCAAGTTCTGGGAAACCAACAGAGAAGAACCTCTATGCGGACATTGAAGCTGCTTGGCTTGCTCTTAGGACAAGGTAATGGTGACTTCACATTATTTTTCATACTGCATAGTTTATGAAAATTGACTTGATACCTATAGAGTAAAAGCTGTTCTTACAGCACATGCCTTGGTCTACTAAGTAGAAATTATATTTATGGATCTGTAAATGAGATTGTATTTTAATTTTGTATAAAAGCAAAAACATTATTTTGGAAACAGTTTGCGTTGGTGGTCTGTGTTTAATGTGTTTTCATCTTTAACTTAAATCTAGTGATGAATGTTTGGTTTCACCAACTTTTTGGTTGGAGTATGATATAAAAAATGTTTACTCAAAGTTGCAACATTTCAGATATATGAGAGTAAACAGTGATTTAGCTAGTTAATAATCACTTCATTATTCATCGTAATAGTTGGAATGTTTTTTGTTAAGATCCTGAACCAAGAGAAGAAGTGCGTAAAATAATTAAGCTAGCTTCTATATCTTATATAATTCTCTCTTGGTTGGTACTAAGGATACCTTATTGAGATTATTTTAAATGTACTCTTGAAAAATGAAATTTTACTTTGTATTTTAACATTCCTAAAATATGGAGTTATGATATGTATTTGTCTGGGTACACAAGAGAAATCCATAGACCCACATATGTGTATAAGAAAGAGGTTTATATACAAGAGCAATTGAACATGGAGAAAACATCCCAACCCAGTCCAGATCAAGTCCATAAGTCCGATATTAGCCCCTATGTCTCATACCAATCTATACAGTCCTCTTCAGACTCAGAAACACATGCAGTGACGTCTAATGTAGAAGATCACAGGCCAGTGGGTAGAAAGCCTTTGGATCCAGTGGCATTGGAAACATCTCAGTGCTGGCAGGGGTCTCTGCATGGCTCTCTGCACACAGGACTGCATCAGGGTGGGTCCATGTGTCTTGTCAGCTGCTAAGTCTCCCAGGGTGTGAGCAGGGAGAGAAAAGTGTCTCCTGCCTCCAAGGAGGAAGTACCGGATTTCCCAGGATTCTCAGGAGAAGGCCATGCCTACACAGAGGCCTCTTTGGCTATGATCTGATTGACAAGCTAGGCTCCACCCCTACACTCTTATTCTACCACAGATAGCAAGTTATTTTTCTTAAGGTTATGATAAATTATTTTTAAGTGAATTATTCTAGGTCAATTCTTTAATTATTAACAGTAAATGTTAGGGAAGTTGCATTAATCCTTTCTGGTCATTAATACACTTAAAATTTTTTCTAAAAGTATTAATTTTAAAGATTTAAGTACATTCCCATTACCTAATTAGTTTATAAGAAACTGTTCTCAAAAGAAAGAAACTTCTCAATGTAAGTTATTTTTTATACATTTTGATAAACTGCCTGACTTCTAGAATATTTTAGACAATGTCAAGCTAGAGCACATTTTTCAAATCTCACGTGTTTCTAATTCAACGCTTAAATATTAAGGGCTTCAGTTTCCAAAGAGAACTTTTCTAGCTAGCATAACTTTTAATACAAAATGTTTTTTTAAACTTCTCCCCCTCTAAGATAGAGAGGTAATAAGGAGCCTTGGTGGTGGAGTGGTTAAGTGCTTGATTGCTAACTGAAAGCTTGTTAGTTCATACCTACTCGCTGTTCACTAGAGAAAGATGTGGCCGTCTGCTTCCATAAAGATTAACACATTCCCATCAAGTCGGTTCCAAATCATACTGACCCTATAGGCTAGTGTTGAGCTACTCCGTAGGCTATTTGAGGCTGTAAATCTTTATGGAAGTGAAGCCTTCTCCTTCTCTTGAGGAGTGACAAGTAGGTTCAGATCACAAGCCTTTTGGTGAACAAGCATGTGCTTTAACAATCCCTGTGTCACTAAGGTTCCACATAAAGATGACACCTAGGAGACTGTATGGGACAGTTCTGTCCTTTTCTGTGAGTCAGAATCAACTGGCAATAATGGAGTTAAAACATAAAATAATGTTACCCTCCCATAGCAAATTACTCTCTGTAGGGGATTATTAAAGCAGTGGGCCTTATGAAAACATTCTGAGTAGTAAGAAAAATATAGATGGTAAATAGAAAGGAACTGAAGCAGAATTGTGCACCATAAAGTTCCTTCGTACACATTCAGTGGACTAGTGTGGTGCTAAGTCAAAGGAAATAGCCTTTATTTCTAGTGCTTTTAGTCGGACAAAAAGATAACTATTTAATGCAGTAGATTTATGGCCGTGTTAAAAAACACCTCTTAGTCAACTTTGACTTGTTTATCAGATATCAAAATTGTAAAAAAAATTAAGTTGTAAAAATAACAGAAAATTGGGTGAAGGGAGATGTCGGACAGGGCAAGATAGGACAAAATAACAATTTATAAACTATCAAGGGCTCATGAGGGAGGGAGAGCGGGGAGGGAGGGGAAAAATGAGGACCTAATGCCTGGGGCTTAAGTGGAGAGGAAATGTTTTGAGAATGATGAGGGCAATGAATGTACAAATGTAGTTTACACAATTGATGTATGTATGGATTGTGATACGAGTTGTATGAGCCCCTAATAAAACGATTAAAAAAGAAATGAAAATGAATACCTTTCACCTAATTAAAAGGCAGTTAATTTTTTTCTTCTTAAAAAAAATTATTTCTAGTTTTGATTCTGTTTCAACCCACCTGATGACCCAGTAAGGAGCCGCAGGTGGTAGTGTAGTGGCCATGCCTCAGGCTGTGATCTGTACAGTCGGCAGTTTGAAACTACCAGCAGCGCGAAAGGGAAAAGACTGGGCTTTCTACTCCCAAGTTACAGTTTCAGAAATCCACAGAGGCTCACTGTGAGTCAGCATTGACTCTATGACAGTGAGTTTGGCTTTGTTTTTGGTGAACCAGTACTACCATATTTTATGCAAACAACACATGTATCAGTATGATTTTTTTTTTTGCATACCACGCAGTGCATGTTATATAAGCACCCTGGTGGTGCACTGAACTACAGTTTTTAAACACTGGCCACTCTGGGAGAAAGAGAAGGCTTTATACTCCCATAAAGATTTACAATCTCAGAAATCTATCCTACAAGGTCAGTAAGTGTGCACATAGTTTACATGGGTGAGTCATAGGCACAGAAAGTAGAGTGATGAACAAGGGCAGACTAGATCAGTTCCTAAATAGTCACCGCACACTACTTTAGCACAGAATTTCACACTTGTTTTTCCTCTTAGGTGGGATTTTTAGTGCATATTAAAAAAGTAAACTCCAGTTTACTTTTCTGGGAAATTATTTCCACAGAATTAAATGATCTCAAGATTCTTCCCAGTTCTGGAATTTTACCGTGTAACAGAACATATATATTTCCTTTACTGGTAAGAGTAAAAAGTTAGGGCTTAAGGAATCAGAATAGAATAGACAAAACATAAATATCTTAACTATTTATTATTTGGGTGTTCGTTTTAGGAAAATTGAACATCTGCTATTACTTATCTTCTGATGGATAAACAGAAAGTAAGGGCCTAACGTGGAGACCCTGGGTGGTACAGAGGGTTAACATTCCTGACTGCTAACTGAAAGATTGGAGGTTCCAGCCTGGGAAGAACAGCTTGTTGATCTACTTCTGAAAAATCAGCCACTGAAAGCCTGGTGGAGCACAGCTCTACTTGAATACGCATGGTGTCCCAAGAGTCCGACACAACTCCTTGTCAACTGGCTGTTCAGTATATGCAACCTCCCCCATAGTCAGTAAGCCTTTTCTCTGCTATAGTGATAAAAAGATCCCTATTGGCATAATGTGCTGCTAACCACAAGGTCAGCAGTTTGAACCCGCCAGCTGCAGGAGAAAGATGAGGTTTTCTGGTCCTATTAAAATTTGTAGCCCAGAAAACCCCAAAGGGCAATTCAGTTCTGTCCTACAGGGTCACTGTAAATCAGAATCGACTTGATGACAGTGAATTTTATAAATCTGTAATGGGAAAAGCGCCAGCGTAGGAAACAGGATATCTGGGTTCTATTTGCAGGACTGTCACTAAGTTACTTTGACTTTGCACATCTTTCAGTAGGTAACTGGAATAAATTGTATGATCTGTAAAGTCCTTCTGAAATTCCACTATTGCTTTGAATCCTTGCTGGTTGCCATCTCTAGGGCCTTGTCATTGCTTGCCTAGACAAACAAGCACAAATGGCCACCACCCATGCAGCTAGCTATTCAACTAAGAACAACCGTGTAGCCTCAAGAATTGTGGTGATCTGTAAATGATCATTCCCCTCTCCCTTCCTTTGAAGCTGGGATCTGTTACAAAGAAAAGGTTTCTCTAGGCTTACTGTAACGTTCATAATCATTCTGGGGTAGATTGCACCAAACCTCTGGGGCACATTCAGTTGCGTGTGTAGGGCTGCCTGGGAGAAACCCTGGGTAGTATGTCACATGGTCCTCAAGAAGAACACATGAAACATGCTGCCTTGTCCTTTCCTGATTAATGCTCAATTTCTATAAAAGCTCTACTTGCTTTCCAAAAGAATGAAGGTTATTGTGCAAATGGCCCTTAGCATCCAGAAATGAGTGATCTCTTCCTTCTAAAAAGAAAAGGCATATTTGCCCTTATAACCAACCCTTAACCCCACATTAGTCTGGATTATCTCATCTATCCTGGAAGTGGTTCACAGCTGGCGCAGTTATACTTATAGGCATACCTTGCTCTCTGTTGTGCTTTGCAGATACTGCATTTTCTATAAACTGATGTTTGTGATAACCTTTTGTTAAAGCAAATCCATCAGCAACCGTTTCTCCAACACCATATCCTTGCTTTGTATTTCAATCTCACAGTATTTCAAGCTATTTCATAATTATTGCATACTGAATCGAGTACAGTGTGGTATAAATACGTGAACTGGGAAACCAAAAAATTGGGGTTATTTGCTTTAATTGCAATTTTCTCTTTGTTATGGTGAGCTGGAACTGAACCCACAGTATCTCTGAGGTTTGCCAGTAGATAAGTACCAGTGCCTGGGACATATTAGGTGCCCAATACATATTTATTGAAACTGTGTCACATAATTAAAACAGTGGCCATAATAAATAGGATCTACATATATTTTACTCATCCCATACTTTAACTATATATAAGGCTGCTTCCAAAATCTCATGGGAAATGGAATTTTAAAATCTTGGATTTTTTTTCTCCAAGAACTTTTGAAAGTACCCTAAACATCTATTAAACATGAATACATTAAAATACTGTTGATTTAATGTGCTCATTTCTAAAGGTTGAAATTGTAGAAATCTTGTTTCTTCCCCTCCCGACACCCCCCCGCCCACCCCGCCACCCCCATCCCCGACATAAAAGTAAACTTGAAACAAAAAAATGTTTTAAGTGAGATCGTAGTTCAACATTATATGTGGTAGTGATAGTTAAACATTCTATTTTAAGATCAAATACTTAGAAATGATTTGAACATTTTATACTAGTCTTACTCTTTTTTTTTTAACTTCCTTTTAGATATGGCATTCGTCCTGAAAATGTGATTATATATGGCCAGAGTATAGGGACAGTCCCATCAGTGGACCTTGCTGCTCGGTATGAGAGTGCTGCTGTTATTCTTCATTCTCCTTTGACCTCGGGAATGCGAGTTGCTTTTCCTGATACCAAGAAAACCTACTGTTTTGACGCGTTCCCAAAGTAAGTAGCGATATTCAAAATAATACAATAATGAATTTCCAAGAAACGGTAGGGGAGAAATTATTTTCTGTCACTTAAAGTATTCATGGTAGTCCATGCATCCATGAACTTCAGTTTTACAGAATTGAGAAAAATTAATTCCTGAAGCAAGTTGTGGTAGCCCAGTCAGGAGGCTGAAATGTTTGAGTAGGCAGACATAATCCTCAGGGCTTTATTCCCAAAGGAAGCATTGGTATTACTGATATGAGGATGGATTTATTAAATAAAATCGACAAAAACTGAATGTCAGGACTAAATGCAGGATGTGAAAGAGGGGAACTTGGCTCTGATTTCCAGGTTTCTGATCTAGGCTGCTGATGGAGATGATGTCGATGAACGAGAGGAGAAGTAGAGGGAAATAAGACACATACATAAATCAGTGGGGGTTGAATGAATGACACCTAATTTACAAAATAAAGTAAATTGCAAAATGTTGTCTGAATGGACTTAAGTATTAGCCCCACAAAGTCTACATATATATGAAGAAATACACCCCCAAAATTGGAAAAATGTTTTTTCAAAGCTATGTATTTAAATTTTTTTTACAAAACAACCTTAATAACTGCAAAATATTCTCCATTACACATTTGTCAAATCTGTGATTCCATTCCTGGAAACATTTCCAAATGCATCTGTTTGGATGCACCTCCCTCATAGTTTTCTTCGCCTCTTCTGTGTTGTCAAATCACTGTCCTTTCATGTCCCTCTCTATTCAAGGAAACAGAAAGAAGTTGCACAGAGAGAGGTCAGGTGGGTAAGGGGCATGGGGCAAGAGAGGCATGCTGAGCTTTGCCAAAAATCTGGCACACTGCAATGGATGCGTGAACAGGTGCATTGTTGTGGTGGCAAAACCAGTTTCCTGTCTCCCACAAATTAGGCCTTTTTTGTTGCACACTGTTAGGCAAACTTTTCAGAGCCCCTAAATCAGTGGTTCTTAACCTTCCTAATGCTGCAACCTTTTAATACAGTTCCTCGTGTTGTGATGACCCCCAACCATAAAATTATTTTCATTGCTACTGCATAACTGTGATTTTGCTGCTATTATGAATCGGGTGACCCCTGTGAAAGAGTCGTTCGACCCCCAAAGGGGTTGCGACCCACAGGTTGAGAACCACTGCTCTAAATAGAAAGCTTGATGTTAACAGTCTGACCTGGTGGAACGAACTCCAAGTCCACTGTCCTCCTCACATCAAAAAAACAAATACATATCATCTTGATCTTTGATTTCACTTGATGAGCTTTTGCGGGGCCAGGTGTGGATGGCATCTTCCACTGGCTCGATTAAGGTTTGTTTTCGGGGTTGTAAGAATAGCAACATACCTCGTCACCAGGACAGATCACTTTGGAACTATTCTTTCAAAGCACAACATGTTTCCATTGAATGCTCTTTTTGCTGGTCAGAACCTGAGGCACAACTTTCTCAGCGCCCCTTCTCATTCCCAACTGTTCCTGTTAAGATTTGCTGAACCGAGCTCCAAGATAGTCCAAATAACTTCCCCATCTGTTTAATGGCCCATTGTCATCAGTCTTCAAGCACAAGTGCACAAATTTTGTGGACACTTTTGCCCATTGGGGAAGTTGACGGAAGTCCAGAACAAAGTTTGTCATCAATGGACATTTCACCTTTTTTTGAAACAAGAAAACCACGCATACACTTGAATTTTTCCCATAGCACTGTCCTTATAAACTGTGTTTAATATCAGTTTTCCTGAGCAGGAAACAAAATTTCACAATTTTGTTTAAGCAAGTTTAAGCAAAACTGCTTTTACAAAAAAATTCACTGTGACCAGAGAGAACTTTCCCAGGTGACGCCACCTGGTTCCCCACTTGGCACATTAACTCAGCGCAAGTACTGGGTGCTCACCTAGCAGGGAGGAAATGTGTGCTCTGAAAGCTCCACCAGCGCAGATCTTTTCAGGGAGTTGCGGGGTGGGGTGGGAGGGTGTGGAGGTCTGCCCTCATACAATAATAGTGGATTTGAAAATATTACTTCTATTTCATGCTTCTAAGAGAGGAAAGCCCCTCTTCATACTTTGAAAAGACCCAGTGCCTTGTTTTTCTCAGTAGAAGAAACTGGAAAATTTCCGTCTTACTTCCTTTTCCCCGTTGGCAACATTACAAATAGGGTGGGGGTGGGGTAGATCAGAGGAGCAAAAAGCCATCCCTTGGCTCTTTGTAAGAAAGGAAAGATAATTAAAAAAAAATTTTTTTTTGCCTTCACTAAAGCAGCCTGTTAGAAGGTTTTATGTTTTTTCTTTTGTGTCCATTTGTGCCTTAAAAGTTAATAAGAGTAGAAGGTATGCAAGGGAGCTGCAAAAAGGGTTGTGGGAAAATTCCATTGTCTTATAGTTCTATTTTCCACAATTTTTGAACCACCTCCGATGTATTCTATATACTGCTATGATCCAGTGAGCCCGCCGGTGCCCTGCTGCCATGGTGGTTATTACAAGTGTTGCTGCAGTTGGCAGTAAGAAACCAGCAGCCGCTCTGAGGGAGAGATGAGGGCCGTTCCACTCCCGTAAAGAGTTAGAACTCAGAAACTCACAGCGGCACTTCTTCCCTGTCCTGTAGACTCGCTGTGAGTCAGCATCCACTCAGTGGCAGTAAGCTTAGTGTTTCTTAATCAAGTGAGTGAGTGGTAGGAGCGATAGAGAGATGTGTTCGGTGATGCTATCTCAACTTTTCTCTCTGCCTATCTCCCGTGTTCATTTCTGGCCCACCCAAAGAAAGGGCTGCACTAACAAAACAATTTAACAAGATTTTTTAAAAATTTATGCTTAAATTCCTCAATGCTGAACATATTTCTGACAGCAAATGCTATATATACTACAGTCTTCTAACCAAATGCAGCCTATAATTATATCATTGCTTTTGATCTTCTGTTTTCAGTGCCTGAAATTCCCATGATTTGTATATAAAGGACCTTTTAAAATAGGCCCTGCAGTATCCATCTTTTATTTTCAGTTGTTTTGCTCTGCCTTCTGCGGAATTTTTTAACGCTTTTGTAACAATTCAGTTAGTTTTTTCACTTCTGCTATCAGGATTTAACTTTTCAAGATTCCATTCTTATTGTATGGTTGTTGTATACTTGTTTGCTAAAGGATTTTAAAAGTGAGGTTTTTCTTAATCTGTTTTTGAGATGTCATTTCCAAGTCATTTCTGTTTTTCCAGGTTGCCTTTTAGAATTTTGTTTATTTTAATCTTTTTCTTGTATTCAAAGTGATTTTTTTCTGCTGCTTGGTAATCCTGAGTGATCCGTTCATGAAGGAGAGAGTGGAAGACCAGAGAGCTGATCTGAAGCAAGCAATGAAGGCTTGTTGCTCTTGAGTTTCACTAGAGGGTGATCTGGCCAAGCCAGTTAGTTGGGAAACTCCCCCTCCCATGCCATTGCTCATAAGTCATCCCTTTTAAGGTGGATACAGTCTCCCAAAAGACTTTCCAAACTCCCTTAGACTGAGGATGAAGACCTGGCTGCCAGGATTTTGGAAGCCAAGTGGGTAGGAAGGTGGGTCCATACCATCCAGTGTGTATATACTTGCTTGTTCTTTGTGCTGGCACTACCCAAAAGTGTCTGAAATGTCCTCGTTTACAAACCCTCGGGGCTTCTGCCTTGCAGGGACTGCGGACAGTTACTCCGCTTCATAAAAGGGATGAGAGCCGAAAGAGATTTTTTATCAAATCCTATATGTTTTCCCCAACGTCTTCATCTCATGTCCTTTGCCTTTGAGGATGCTCTATGGTATTGAATGGTTGTTCCCTTTATCTCCGCCCCTTTAGAAGTGTCCTTTCTCCTGTCTGTTCCATTCATCATCTCACATATCCCTTTGTTCTCCAGCACCAAATCTCTGTTATGGTTTTGCATTTGTGCCTTAAAATTTTTTTTTATATAATTTTTTAAATAATCACTCATTTTCATAGGAGGCTCAAATTCAGTGCCATCGAGTCAATGCCAACTCAGAAAACCCTACAGGATGGGGTAGAACTGCCCCTGTGAGTTTCCAAGACTGTATACTTTACTTGAGTGGAAAGCCCTGTCTGTCTTCTGCGGAGCACCTGGTGGTTTGGGATAGCATAACGAGATCTGCTCCTGTGTCTTTCAGTGGCACTTGGCTTCACCACGAGGAGACGTGGTGGTGATGTGCTGCGTTGCTGATGTGCAGAGTCAGCAGAGGGTTCTCTACTTCCACAAAGAGTTACAGTTGCAGGAACCCACAGGGACGGCCCTTAAAAGGGCCCTTAAAACCCACGTGGCCCTTAAAAGGTCGCTGTGAGTCATAACCGACTCAGTGACACTGGGTTTGTGTGGGTTTTGTTTGATTTTTAAGGAGAACTGGTGATGCTGTTGGGTAAGCTGATAATTGCAAGTCTGAGAGTTCAAACCTACCAGCAGCTTGATAGGCTGTCTGCCTATGAAAAGGGTTGCTATGAGTTGGCGTCCATTCACTGGCAGGGGCTTTGTTTTTTCAGGGTTTTAGAGCAAGAAAAGACTTCATAACCTTAACAGGCAAGGAACTGATGTCCTTCTATAACCTAGGAACTACCTGTACTATGCAAAATGTCTATTAGTTTCCTTCTTGGTGAATTCTAAGTTTCTTTGTGGAACAATAAAAAGAATATTATAAAGTGGTGTAGGTAGGCCATACTAGCTGCTGAGTGGCTCTGCAACAGAGTGTATGAAGTTCCTGTCCTCACATCAGTCCTTGGGTATGTAAAAGATGGCATTTGAATCTTCCTTGAAATCCAAGAGTTTTCCATCCCTTCTGAACTGATTCAAAAGCATTCTCGTGTTTGTATTGTTTGTGTCAAACAGCAGAAGAAACTGTCTTTTATAGTCTTTCTATAGTTGACTTATTGATTTCCCTCTTACCCCTACATCTAGCATTGACAAAATCTCTAAGATCACCTCTCCAGTATTGATCATTCATGGGACTGAAGATGAAGTCATTGACTTTTCTCACGGCCTTGCGTTGTTTGAGCGCTGCCAAAGACCCGTGGAGCCTCTGTGGGTCGAAGGAGCTGGCCACAATGATGTGGAACTCTATGGACAGTATCTTGAAAGATTAAAACAGTTTGTATCACAGGAACTGGTAAATTTGTAAAATATTCTGTAAATTGCATACCGGGTTTTCTTTTCTTACTGAGCTACACTCCTTGGTAAATGACATACAACCTGAAGGTTTTGTTTACAAATCATGTCAGTTGCCTTCATAAATGTACAGGTAATGATTTGTTAACAGACTTAATGAAGGTTTTAATTACCAGAAACTGGAAATAACAGTATCATGCCAAGTCAGGCTGTGTAATTTATATTTTTTCTGTGAATTTTTTTTTAAGCATCAAGATGAGTACTGTATGAAATTTTAATTCTATAAAAATCAAATGCTGTAAAAGTATTGCCAAATGCTTTTGCATATCAAATACAAATTTATAAGTATTTTTAAAAACATCTCAATGTTCTAAATCTTATCCTGGTATAAAATGTAATATCCTTCTTTTAAAGATGAAAAACACTGTATATCAAAATGCAAGTACTCAACATGGAATAAACTGTAAAAACCAGTAGGGGAAACATAAGAGTTCACTGGAGTGGACCTCAACCCTGTTGTGCAGGGATGGAGGTTTAAACAGTTATCTTATTGTAAAATACATCCAATTTTCTGTATTCTCTGGTTATCAAACATTTTATCCTTAACAACAACAACAAAATAAGTCTTAATTGTTACACCATCAGTTTACCAACTAGCTACCTATGTTGTAAATGAGAGATCATAGTAGCACTGAATTTTAACCCTTTTGATTTTAGACGTTTGGTACTGTGAGGCAACGACTTAAATTGTTCATTCTGGTTATCTAAGAGGTATTCAGAGCTCTAAGAATGCTTCTGTATGCACTGTTGTTGTACACCTTGACTGACCCAGGGGAACTGCGGTTCTCAGAAGCCTGAGAGTCCATTAGTTCTTCAGGACCACAAACAGACTGCTGGTTTGGCCCCTTTTCAAGTTCACTTTGAATCTTTTAAGAGTGGGACTGATTGTTTTGGATGACTGAGAATTTCATGGATCCTCACCCAGATATAGAAGATGACAAAACATTTAATTCATACTTTTATATTAACCAATATAGTAAAAAAAATAAAGCTCACACACACAGACTAAGTTGCCTTTCTTTAAATGAATCCTGCCTGAATAAAACAATGAAAGAAAAATAAAATTAATGGTATGTAGTCTAATTTGTAAATGAATGAATATTGAAATAATACACACTGTGGATATATTTTAAGGCCTTATGTAGTTTTAATTGATCTGCTTGTTCTGTGGTTATGTCTAAGACTATAGTAGATTTTCTTCAAAGTATATCAAGTATTGTGAATGCTTTGGTTCAGATGTGTCTAATTAACAGTAAAACAAAAGTATATCACTCAGCTGTCCTTGTTTGCCTTCTTCTATGCTCCCTACCCTCCACCAGGGCTTCGAACCCAGAATTCTTATTTGATCCCCTGCTAAGAATTTGCCCTTCCATTCCCTCTGAGTCATGGTTTACATTTTAACCAAATCTCCAGGTGATTCTTAATAGATTCCAAAGTGACCCTTATTATATATCATTTTAAAAAATGTAGCTCCTGATTCACTATATGTGGGGGACTTAAAAAAAAAATGTGGAAAGATGGTATGAAAAGATTGTGGAATTTCTCTAGGAATTTTGTAGTCTCCTGTGTCTGGGTTGGAAATACAAGCTTTCAACGGGGAGTCAAACCAGAATCAACTGTTTTGTTTCGGGCCCTGCCCATCACCAGAAAGAATGAGAACCGTTATCATCCTTCACAGAGTATAACTATAATTAAAGTTCTTTTATTATCACTTCTTTGTTTTGAAGAGATTTGTTTTTCCTCCTCAGTTTTGTCTTTGTGCTCCTAACTTTTTGCTGTGAACAATATATAACCAATGTTTAGCTAAGTCTTTTCTGTAATAACCTGAGAAATATTAAATATTGGTCATACTATTAATTCAGCATTCATTCATTCACTCAACAAATATTTCAAGACGACCTAAATAATGCAGAACATCTTTAGAGTGTTTACTCTGAGAAGTAAGGTGCGCCGGACCCAGCTGTGGCGTTCCTCCATTGCCTCAGATGCGTGTGAAAGGTGGACATTGACACATAGAAGCATTGATGCATTGGAATTGTGGCGTCGGAGAAGAATTTTGAAAGTGCCACGGATGGCTAGAAGGACAAACCAATCTGTGTTGGAAGAAGTGAGGCCAGCTGCTCCTTAGGGGCAAACGTAGCAAAACTTAGAGGAGAAACCAGTCCACGTTACCAGCCCCGAAGGGAAAGGGCAGTGAAACAGAGGAAGGCCCTGGAATGAGGAAAGATGGCAGACCATGTTCTCAAAGACTTCAGAGTGTGCCCCAGAGGACAGATGCCTCATTCATTCCACATGTATTTATGACTTTCGATAAGGACCGAAGGAGAGTCATAGGGTTACAGTAAGTGAGAAGGTACTCTTGGGAGGGGTTAAACACAAGCATCCCATGAAGAATGGCATTTGAATGCAGCTCTGAAGGATGTCCATTAATTTACTAGACGTGGATAGCCCAAGGGAGACATTCCGGAAGAAGGGAACGCAACAGTGGTATCCAGAAAGCAGAACTTTAAACAGAAAAGTGCCAAGTGGCATGATCGAGCTCAGTGTAACAAAAGAACACGTAGTTGTGTCCCTTACGGAAAGGGGCTGTCTCCTGAGGATAAAAGCGGCCTTGACCACCAGGTGGATTATATGTTATTACCACCAAGTGAGAGAAATTGTCAGCAGATGCTGGAAAACACTAACTACGGATTGGTAAATAAGCACAAGTAAGCCTGTGCTTACCCTGCGTACTGTCAGGAATTGTAAATTGAAAAGAGGCTTTGATTCTGTAGAGGAAATGCCGTGGAGTTGAAGAGAGAAACTAGCCGTACCTAAAACACAGAATCTTTTTTTTTTTTTTTTAACGCAGAATCTTTTTTGTGAAAAAAATGTAAGTTGTTCACTACCTTGCTTTGCTGGGTAATCTGACACTTCACGACGCAGCGGAGCAGAAGTTGAGTGACATCTGTCCTGGATTCTACAGAAGAAATTAGCATGATGTGGCCAGTTATTCTAGATGTACAATGTAAGAGCCCTTTTAGCTTGTACGTACCTTTTAGACTCCCCTACGTTCTCAGAACATCAGTTCATCCAGAAGATGTCGACAAAAGAATTCACTTGGCATGCCTAGCTGGGCTGTCAGCTGATGCTAATTAGATCTGCAATTAATCTAGGGATTGGACAGGTTGGTTAATGTCCCTGCCATTTCTAACATCATGTTTAAATCTCTTCATCCCACCCTTATGTAATGACTCGTGTCAATTTGTAGTCAATTTTTAACCATGGCTAGAGTCACCTCACTTATCTTGTTTATGATTTTAGGCCTTTGGACATAGTAACATGATGCAATTTAGATAGTAACTAATATCAAGAAAATGGGCTGTCATGTACTGTAAGTGCAAAAATAAAGAATAGGTATAGAAGAACTTTACCTTGATTCTCACTTAAATGCAAAATTGCTAGTTAGTTCTATACCTAAGAATATATCGCACGGTTTTCCCCCTAGTGTTTACTGAGGGAGTCACCACGTTAAGAAAGCTTAATTCATGAAAGCGAATTTTTTAACAATGGTAAACATCCATTGTGTTGTAAACAGTGATGGTACATTTAGACATTCTACATAATAAAACTGAATTTAAGCTTGTTTCAAGAAAAGGTATGGCAAGCTACATAAACTCAAATTTCAAAAATTTTTAAAACTAGAGCTATGTAAGTCCTTCACTGCACAAAAAAATACATGAAGGTAATTTTTTTAATTAATTTTTTTACTAATCATTTTATTGGGAGCACTTACAGATATGACAATCCATCATTCGGTTAATGCAAGCATAATTTTACAATTGCTACCACCATCATTTTCAAAACATTTTCTTAAAACTCTGATATCAGCTCCCCATTATCCCCCTCCCTACTCCCCAAGAGCCCCTATTGTGTGTGTGTGTGTGTGTGTGTGTGTGTGTGTTTTGCCCTAGCTTACACCATCGGATGTATTCACCTGCAGTTCTGCATTTGTTTCCCCTCGAGTGGAGTTAATACAGTCATCATTGCTATTAGCTCCTCCTTCCCCCAGGAAATTATTTTTTTAACATCAGCAATCATCTCTTCAAAATTTTCTAGATAAACCACTTGTCCTTTGGAACTTTAGTGCATATAAGCTGGTTTGTTGTCCAATATTTGTTATACTTTTATTTCTTTAATGTTGCCTGTTAAATGAACCCTGGTGGCATTGTAGATTATAAGCAAAGCTGCTAACCACAAGATCACCAATTGGAAACACCACTCTAGTGGGAGAAAAATGAGGCTTTCTACTCCTATAGTTGTTAAGAGTCTCTGACATCCTCAGGGGGCAGTTCTACCCTGTCTTGTATGGTCACTATAAGTCACACTCATCTTTGATAGCAATTGATCGTTGGGCTTTTTTGTTTTTTATTAAGTTACTGCTAAATGCTGGCCATTGCGTACCCAGTTATAGTGACCCTGTGTACAACAGAACAAAACACTGCCATGTTCTCACAGTTGTGATATTTGAACCCTTTGTTGCCACAGTGTGTCGGTACATCTCAGTGAGGGTCATCCTCGTTTTTGCTACCCTACGTTACCAAACATAATGTCCTTTTCCCGGGACCGGTCTCTCCTGCTTGCCTGGCCAAAGTACGTGAGATGAAGTCTCACCAACCTATCTTCCAAGGAGCTATCTGGCTGTACTTCTTCCAAGACAGCTTTGTTTGTTCATTTGGCATCCATGGTACTTTCAATAATGGTGCCTGGATTCCTTCAAAGCATTATCAGCTGGTTATTCATTGAAAACCAAATTGGTAGGTGTGCCTTTGACATTTCTCCAATTAACGATTTGTATATTTAAAGTGACCAATACTTTTGCTAGACTCATTAACAGCCCTTAAGTTATATTAAAACCTAGTTAGGGTGGTTATCATAGTTACATGAATCAAATCAAGTGCTTGCTTCAGCAACACAGGCTACAAATTATGACAAGAATAAAGAACTACATTCAGAAATTTATCAAGGTAGTTATTAAATGGTTATGGCTAACCTGTTAGCTTTTTTGCTTTGCTTTAGAATATGCAATACAGTCAGATCCCACGATAGCATCTGCCTTCTCAGAAAACAATATACTCCACAAGTGTCCAGTAACTGAGAAATGTAACAATTTATATGTATGGTACTTGGAATGACATAGGAGCTTTACTTTGCAGAATTGAGTATAAAATAGAGAAGAGGCATTTGTCTGCCACCACATCTGAGTGGACTTGACTCACCGAATGAATAATACTAGAGCAGAAAGCAAACATCTAACCTGGCAATGACCACCGGGAGCTACAGCAATAGACTCTACAATTGTGAGCTGGAAGCTAGGAACCCACAGCTGGCTCTTTGGTGGGAGCCAAATGGAATTGAAATGAGCTACTCCCGTGATCAATTTCTTCATCTGCTGGCACCAAACTTGCATAATACAAGGATAATAATTCTTGAAAACAAAAAGTTAATAGTACGGTTTTTAAAGCGATATATTCTAATATCAGAAAAATTAATTGCTGGTTTTAAATATTTCTTAATACTTTTTATCTACTGGTAAAATGCAAGTTTCTGCTACTGTAATACTTGATTAGTTCAGAATTGAGGATTTGTTTTCTCCGCCCTCACCCCCACTAAACAAAGAACTGCTTAATTGAGATACAGAGGTAAAGATTTATGTATAGAAAAGCATCTGAATTATAATTAAAGTTTTTAAATTACCATCCTTCTAGCCCTTTTCAAGAGTACCAGCTAAGTATGGTGGATTTATAGAACATGAATCCAAATGTCTAGTCAGCATTCTACAGTATACTTCTTCCTAAGATGAAACACTATATTTGTATTCAAACACCTAACTCTAAATTTGTAAATAAATTCAAGTTTAAGACTGGTTGATCGGAGGCTAATCTCTTCACCAAATTTCAAAACTTTTTTGAGATTCAAGCTATTAAGGTTATTTTGAGTGTGGAAGTCTGACATCCAAGTCTTCTACATCCACCACAGAAAAACCCAATAATAACCAAAACCGGGTAGGTGGGTGACACAAGAAAATAACTTGTAGTCACTCCCTGAATCAATGTGATAGTACGAAGAATGATTAATCAACAGTCTGATATATCCAATGTAGTACCAAGTGAAAAAGTATACATGATTGATTAATATGTTTATACCTCAGTAAAATAAGTGGGACTGCCTCTGAAATAAAACCAGAAGGGACTACATACAATAAGAATTGATTGTGTTAAGGTCAGCCATTAGCC